ATGCCCCTCACCAATCCATCCCTTCTCTGTTTCTGATCAGAAAGGGGCAGGCCTCCCATGAGAGTTAATAAAGCATGGCACATCAAGTTGAGGTAGGACTAAGCTCCTCCCTTCTATTAAGACTGGGCAAGGCAATTCAGTATGAGGAATAGGCTCCCAAAAGCAGCTAAAACATTAGGGGCAGAGCCTGATCCCACCACAAGGAGTGGGAGAATTATTTTATTTTAAAGCATTGTTTTTATTAAATGTATTCTTGAATAAATTTTATTAAATGTACATAATGTACTCTGGTTACTCTCATTCCCCAACCTCCTGTATTCTATCCCCACACACACACATAGCATCTCCCTATTACAAGTTTCTTTTTCACATTCATATCTTCTTGTTTAGTCTTGTGACCCACCGAGCTTAACAGGGTTGTCGGTGTGAAGCTCCTCCAGTAGTATCTCACTTTTTTGCAGGGTTTGAATGGAATACAGTGACAGAATTGCCTTAGCTTTTCAAAAGAATGTGTGTGTGTGTGTGTGTGTGTGTGTGTGTGTGTGTGTGTGTGTGTGTGTGTGTGGACTTTCTGTTAGTGAGACTTGCCTTTGGAAATAAGCCTGCTGAGTGGTTCTGCTTCCATTACACATGGTTATTATTTTTTCTGGCCTGTAGCTAGCAGTTAAAAGGGCTGCTGGTGATGGGCAGGCAGTCCCAGTTAGGCTCTAACAATTGCTATGGTGCTGCAGCTTAACCCCAGGTGTCACCAGGAAGGGCACCAGAGGCTCAAAGGCAGCACATCAGTAACTAATTTCTAACTCAATTGTGAGATGGCATAAATCACAAGATCTCCTGGGTTCTAGAATTCATGGGACTTGAGTCAAAGTATTGTGCCTGGAAGAGTGAACATTCTTTGAATGATTAAGTTTTCTAGACATGTTGACTGTTTTTCCACAGCACTGGGCTCTAGAACAGGAAATGTACTATTTTTATTCCCCTTATGTTCCTTCATTAGCTTCAAGAACTCATTGTACATTTAATGAAGAACTGTTAATTATGTGAGTAAGGATTGTGTTTCTCCTCCCAATTATATCATGTAATGAACCTAATTAAGAATGGTACAGAGGCCTGCTTCTTAGGACATTTACAGACTGTGTTGAGTTTAATGTGTTCAGAATCTCTTCCATGAAGTCAGAGTATTCCAGAATCACCAAATTGAATTCTGGATGTGTTTGAAAGTTAATCATTTGGGTTAAGATCCATGAGGCTCAGTTCCCTGATCTGTTTAGGCATGGGCTTCTAGTACACTTGTAATTACTAGGAATCGTAACTTGGCAGAGGCACTGGCATTGATTTTATTTTTAATTTATCACCATGAAATTGTGACAGAAATTTCATACATATTTATATTTCCTGAACATTCATCATGGTAATTTGTATACATATGTTATCTGTGGGGTCATTGTTGATCAGACTCCATATTCCTGACTTCACTTGACAGACACATAATACTATATTTAGGATTAAGCATTGTCTATATCTTATAGGTAGATCATTTAAAGCAGGGATAGAAAGTTTAGAGAACTTTCTCAAGTTCAAATACAGAAGTGGGAGAACTAGGATTTGAACTCATGACTGTGTCATGACTACAGCTCATGCTTTCTAGGCATTGCTGTACCAAGGGTATCTTTATGTGGGACTCTGCCACAATACTGTACATGGTCAGCAAGTATTAAGTGCTAAACACTGACTGACTGAATACACAATGGATAAAAGTTTGCAGATTAAAAATATATGACAATATAGAAATTCTGAGCACAAACTTGGGATATAGATTGATGAGTATTAGCAGTTTCATAGGTAATAAAACCTAGCCTGCAGAAACAACAGAGCTAAGTACAAATAGTAAGGGAATGTCTGAGAGTCACAACAGGTCTTTGGTCCCCACCATTAGTCCTATCTTCATCTCATCTTCTCTTACTCCCTTCCAACAAGAAGAACCCTCAAAACAAGGTCCAGAGATGTCAGCACAGTACTGATGACGTCAGACTTTGGTACCAACACACATTCCAGACCAACCTAAATCCTTCCTATTAGTGAAAGAATCTAAACTAACATGCATTTTGGGGCATCCCTTATTAAGTATGAATAATAAACGCTTACCATTCAGCTATGGTAAGCAATAAAGGAGATAACATGGTGGCCTCACATCACAAATAAACCTCAGGACACATCACGCACCATCTCATCCACTCTGTTGTAAGAATGGGGCCTCCTGATGTGACAATTTCATGCCACCACTGTGTCATACTGCAGAGTCACCACTTTCCATACATCACTTAATTCTTGAAATTAAAGCAAAAATAAGTTTCTGCTCACTTGCAAACCTAACCTCTCTCTAATAAGGACCGTTCTGACTATATAGATAGTATCTGCTGGCAGAAATAAGAGGAGATAAGCAGAAGTAAATATTCTCTTTTCATTCTAGGCATTTTACTTCATACATACAGCACATGCATAATAAGGATATTTGCTTTGCATTTGACATTAGAAACGTGTAAGTGATACAGATAACTATTAATCAAAAATAAATAAATGCTGATTCCAAAGAAGCCAAAGACATACTTGTCATCATTCCTTAGTTAAAGCTCAAAGCCAACAGGCTAATCAGAGACAGAAGACTGAGGCCTGGAAGAAGGCAGACAGGCATGAGGCCTGGAGACTTGTGGGGTGACAGTGGCAGAGAAGGTGTTGTGTTCTTACCTCACATACTCAGGCTAAATACCAAAGAAGCTGGCAACTCAGAAATGTCAATGGTCTATGAAAAAAAATGTACCCTCAAAAGATCTGCTGTCTCAGGCTAGGAAAGAGGCAGTACAGAAAAGAGGAAACATTTAAAGAAAAAATGTGGTACTAATCATTTTATTCCATGAAAACAGCTCCAGCCATGCCTGCCCACACAGTAAAGATCAAGGGGAGACTTAGAACCAAGCCAGGCTGTGAGGAAACATGCTCTCTGTTCCCTTGTAGGTTGCACTAGAGAAAGCACATTGAGAATTGTGACTTCCATCCCTGCATGGCTCTCTAAGCCACTGTCAGTGGAACCACACAGGCAGCCCACAATCAGGCAATACAGTCTCTGTGTGAGAGAGTCCATGGAGGCCCAGTGAGAATCATCACTTTCACCACACTCAGAAATAATGACCACACACCTGTGGCATCGGTGGAGAAATATTGGCAGTAACAAGGTACCCCATTCTCTCACAGGATATCTAAAAGGATTTAGTGGAGAGCTGTTCTCTAGCCTGACCTCACAGCCACAAGAAGCCCTTCTCCCTAGATGCCAGCAAAGTCATGGTAGAAAACCTGAGTGGACTCCCACAGTGCAGCTACAGGGCAGTGCCCCAATAATGGGAGCAAGGTCTCAGTGGGACTTCCTCCAACTCTGGTGACACCCAAATTCAGGTTTCAAGTGACTCGCTCATATCAGGAACTATCAATTTCTTAAACTGAAAAACAGAAAAGACAATCAAAAGAAGTCAAGACTGGAATGCAGTAAGAGATGAGAAGTGAAAGCAGTAATTTTTTTCTTTTTATATTTATTTAATTTAGAAACAATCTGTATGGTGATTCCTCAGGAAAATGGGACTCAGTCTACCACAAGTTCCAGCAATTCCACTCTTACGAATATACCCAAAGGATGCTCTCTGTGACTGGATCCTGACAGGCCTGATCTAGTGCAGATAATCACAGCTTCTGTGAGATGGAATCCAATAGCATTGTTATCTCCACAGCATGGTGTTTCATTACACTCTACTCTTTTCTTAGTTCCTATTTCTTTCTCCCCTTCATCCAACATGTTTCTGAGCCTTGGGTGGGAGAGGGGACCTAAATATGTCTCATTTATGGCTCAGCATTCAACAGTCACTTAGTCTCAGCACTCTCTGATACTGCTGCTCACTGCAAAATCAAATTTCTCTGACAAAGTTGAGAGTAGCACTGATCATGTACATAAGCATCATTATTCAGAAAGTAATTTGACAAGCACATCATGTCCATTTAGCAAAACAGCAGCATTGGTAAAGCAAGGATTTCTTTTTAGCAGATCAGTAGCAATGATCACCTCTGAAATCTTGTTCTTTGTAAACACCTCTCCACACACTGAGAAACCAATGCTCTTTATGGAAATGAAGCATGTTACTATCCTTTGTAAGTATAAAATACATTCATTTTACCCATATCTATGACAAAGGAAAATATACATGGTAAGTTAGGCATGACTGATTATGCTATAAACGCATACTAGGAAGGTTGAGGCCACAAGTTCAAGGTCACTCCTTGATATATAGTGATTTCCAGGACAGCCTGGACTACAGGATAAAATGGAATGATAGACCTTCAACCCTTTGCACCATTCAATGAAGTATTAAGAGCAGGTAGTGATTTGAGAGAATACTGCAATAAAAGGTACAATATTCAATACTACTATCTATTGTTATATAGAAATGTTTGAAGTGAAGTGTTTCCTCCTGGAAAGAAGAGAGAGTATCTTAAGACTCAAGAAGTGAATGAGACACATGAAGTCCGGAGTACAGACATAAAAATCGGGGAGGGTGTGTGTTCTGTAATCCCAGCACTCAAATAGAAACAGAAGATTGGAAGTTTAACATCATCCTTGGTTCAAAGTCACCCTCAGTTACATGTAGAGTCCATGGCCAGCCTGTACTACATGAAACCTTGTCTCAAAAATAGTACCAAAATAAAATAAAAATAAATAACTAACAAGTAGAGAAACTGGTTTTGGTGGAGCTCTCTGCATCATGAACAGAAAGTTCCAGAGATATGGCATACTCATGAAGTGGTGGACCCCAGAGTCACCCATGCTCTTGGAAGTAAGCCAAATATACACACTTGTTCAATAAGCTGGACTTTGAATAGAATTGTTCTTTTGACCTGCTGTCAGCGCCGTACCTGGGATGAATATACATTTATTCTTGTCATTGTGATCTGACAAAGCAACATGAGAAAGAAGGGTTTTATTTGTGTCCTTTAAAGAAAAAATAACATACCTACATTAGGTTTTTTTTTTGTCCTTTAAAAAAAAAAAAACATACCTACATTTGAGAGTAAACACACACACACACACACACACACACACACACACACACACACACACACACACACTTCTGTTGCTTTTGAGATAGGCTGCTCTAATGAATTCCAAGATGGTGAAGGGGTGATGCAGAAGGGGCAGTAGGCAGAATGCCTCAGGGGAGGGTTGATGTAAGTGGGCATGACAAAACTTAGCAGAACTTTAAGACTTGCCAGCCCTTAAGGAGAGGCTGGTCTCTCACTCCCCAAATCTTCCTTGACTTTGCAGTGGGCTTGTGTTCTGTGTGCCTTACTGCATATATTTTCTTACCCTTAGTAAAATCCTGTCTTTAATGGAAAAAAATTATCAAGACCAATTTGTGCTCCCCAAATATTCTGGGTGTGGTCTTCCACCTATTGACTGTCAACCTTAGTCTGTAAACTGGAGTTTGCAAGAAATTCTACACAAACTTGTTTTCCAACCACAGCACCCAGGCTATTTTGAGCTGTTTTCCCACCAAACCTGCTATGTGGGAAGCTCTAGTCCAGTCTCCCCCAAGCCCATGTCAAACCATTCCAGACCCTTCCAGCTCATATAGACTGGTTAATTACAGATGTCCACTGTCCTATTACATGTCCCTTAGGTTACCGCTTCCTCTGCAGCTGTGTGTCTGATTGTGGCCCCACCCAACATGTTGCCTCGCCAGT